ACCTCATTGAGTGGAAGGGCTGCTGCCAGCCAGTGGAGCCACCCACTGCCCTGGAGAGCGCCTTCAACTCCTATTGCCACCTGAGCGAGGGCGAGCAAGAGGCGCGCTTCGCTGCTGGTGGGCACCGAGTGGGCATGGGGTAGCAGGGTGGGTTGTCCCCATCCATCCATCCTTGCCATTGCACCATGGGCACAGAGATGCCAGGCAAGGGGATTTTGGGGGCACCTTCTGATGCGTGTGTGACCCATCTCTGTCCCATGCCAGGTGTGGCAGAGCAGTTTGCCATTGCTGAGGCCAAGCTGAGAGCCTGGTCCTCGGTGGACGGGGATGACTCCAATGATGAGTCCTACGACGAGGACTTTGTGCCCTCCACAGAGAGCTCCCAGCCCACTGGTAAGCACCACAGTGACGAGGCACCAGGGTGGCAAGGTGTTCTGCTGCCAGTGTTGGTGTCCCACTGCCAGTGCCAAGGGTTGAAGCAGCGGGGGGCCTGATGCCCAGCCACAGGTTGTTCCTGGCACCATGGCAAGCGATGCTGGTGCTGGGGAAGCCCAGCAATGCAGCACCCTCTCTTGTGCCAGGGCATATTTTGGTTTACCTTTGGTGGTCACCAGTGCCACACTTAGCAATTTATGGGCAAAGGGAGCAAGGTGCCTGGTGTGGGGCTGCTCACATCCCATTGCTCCCACCCAGCGGGGCATGGGGAGTGGGGCAGCTGGCAGCCCCTAGTGCCATCAGCCCCAGACCGTACCTGTTTCCCCACAGATCTGCCCAGCACGGTGCCTGCCAGCGCGCTGCTGCGAGACCTGCTGCAGGGCCACCTGTGCCAGCTGGGCGTGCGACACAGCTCCTGTGAGCCTGAGAGTGACTCTTCACACACCCTCTCCCCTGAGACCCTCTGCTCCAGCCTCTGCAGCCTGGAGATGGTGTCCCCCTCTGAACTCACTGCCAAACTGCTGGGATCCCTGGGGAGCGAGGACCTGCTGCTGCCCAAGCCGCCCCCCCCGGCCAGCCAAAGTGCCTTGCGGGGTCTGGCACGGCTCCGGTGCCAGGACTCCCTCTACTCTGTGTCCTACACCCAAGCCTGCCTCTCACCCGCCG